TGAAAATGCTATCTAGAAAGACGTTGAAAGCTCCACAGTTAAATCGGTTGGCTTGGAGAACACAATAACTTTGGGATAAACTACTGATGGGAAAACAAGCCCACGCAAGGGCATGGGCGCGTGCGCGTGAGAGAGAGAAAGATTGCAGAAGGAATTAGAAGAAGTCAACCTGTAAGAATATTATGAAGATGTATGTACAAGTGTAGTGGGTTTCACAAAAGGATTCTGTATCGTGAATAATGAAAGTGTAGAATGTTGTTGTAATAGTTGAATTTAACACCACAGATTACTTTGAGAAAGGCAACATGAGGAACTGAGTGACATTGGCTTCATCAGGTATTCACAGGTTAATATTTCGTTCACTGAAAAAGATAATTTATGGTATTACCTTTTCCTGGAGATCTGTGTAGCACATACAATTCCAAAGACTCACTTAAAATCGTAGATCAAACTGGATCAACTTAGATGCATGTATGACTCTTCAACATTCAGTAATAGGGCTTCAGCAGTACACTTCCAGTTTGTTCCAACCTCTGCAGTCATCTTAAGATGGCTCCACGATTGCCTTTAATCTCTTATCTCCACCTCATATGACCTCCTCAATATCACCCTCAAACACCAAAGTAGTCATTCGCATTCAGGTTCCACTCGAGGGTATGTTTGGCGTGCGATATCACTCAACGGTTTCCTCAGAGTGTGTCCAATTCGTCATCACTTTCTTCGGCATACTTGTTGAGCAATAGGTTCTTGGTCAGCTGGTTACTAGAGTTCCTTAATGCTAATCCTTTCTGCCTGATCATCTGAGGTTCAGTATTTTTTTTCCCTTCACGTTCCCCAGTGAAACATAGGGCTTCAAGCTTGTGGCTTGAAGTTTCTGTAGCAGCGTTTATTTTTACAGGATGGGGTTGCTAGCCTCATGCCCAACCTTCCCTCTTTACCAGCTTCATTTCTGGCTTAGCGAGGTAAAGGAGTGCGTCGGCCGGGGATCGAACCCCGGACCATGTGCATGGTCGGCGAGCGTCCTAACCGCTATGCCACCGACACACAGGTTCAGTATGGGGGGTGGCAATTATTATTATTATTTCATTTAATTCCTAGAGGAACATAGGGCTTCAGCCACAAGTCTCCATTGCGTTCGGTTCTCTACTAGAGTCTTCACCTGGCTCCAAGTCTGCCCACACGTTTTCATCTCCTCTTCACATGACCTCTTCTAATCCATCCCACCCTCGCACTGACGACCAACTCGCCGCTTCCCTTTCGCGTTCCACTCGAGCAATGGCTTGTCTAGTGATGTCACTTGATGGTTTCCTCAGAGTATGGCCAGCCAATCCATCTCCATTTCTTCCTGCATATTTGTTTCACAATTGGTTCCTGCTGGGTTGGTTCGCTCATTGCCAGAGATCTCTGTTGCTGATCTTTACTGGCCGGCCATCTGATCTTGAGAGTATTGAGCGAAGACAACTGTTAATGAAGGTCTGTAGTTTGTTTGAGATGCTCTTTATGACGCGCTGGCCAAGTCTCTGATCCGTATGGCAAGTAGCACTGACTTCACATTGGAGTTGAAAATCCGGATCTTATTTTTGATGCTGAGTAGTGCTGTTGACCTCCACACAGACTTGAGAGTAGTGAAAGCTTGTCTTGCTTTTCCGATTCTTGCTTTGATATCCTCGTCAGTTCCGCTGGCCTGTAGTTGAAACGATGCTTCCCAGGTCGGTAGGTAAAGGAGGTTGTTTCTTTCAGGGGTGGCAATAGGCACGTGTTAATGAAGGTCTTTAGTCATCTGTTGGAAATGGTATAGGAGCAATTTCTTAACACTGATGTCAACATTTCGGAGCTTGTTCTTTATGCTTAGTACAGTAGGTTTCTAGACCGATTTCTGAGTCATGAAGGTCTGTTTCGCACTTCTGAAATACTGGCTTTGACATCTTCACCCGTACCGCTTGTAGTTGAAATAACAATGTCTACCGTGTTAAGTGAAAGAATTAACTTCTTTCACAAATATCTTCTGTTGAAGCTGCGGATTATATTTTCCAAACTCACTGAATTCATTAACTGAAGTTTCGAGGTTAAAATATGCCACAGTTCCCTTTTCGAAGCTAAAAATATTCGGACTACAGTTTGTCTGTGTGTGTGTGTTTTATCTGCTTGATACTACCATAAATGACAATCGAGAAAGTGAGCAGAATTTTATGATTGTGTATACTACTGACTGACTAATATGAGTAGTTGGAAACCATTTTTGTCAACCAACAATGCTTTTTCATCTAGAGATTTGGCAGAAGTTGGAATTCATGGGCTGGCCATTGGATCGGGTCCCAGTGAGTGGCTTAATGGTCTACGAGCTCGCTAGCCTTGTAACCAGAAGGTCCTGGGTTCGAACCTTAGTGGTGGGTGCCTACCGATGAAGAGTCTCAAAGCTAGGCTGACGAAACAGCTGTCCAGTACTCCCAGGTGTTTATTTAACTTATAAACTTCCAATCAATCAAATCCCTACAAACCAATACTTGAAGATTTGATTTCATTTGTTACCATTTCGCTGAAAAGTGCCCAACCATGTTTCAAGTGGTTTGCACTAATTCGGTACTCTTTTCATTGAATTGAATGAAAGCCGGTACACACACACAGCTCATAAGCTCGGTGTCAAATGAACTAGAACGGCGTGTCCGGTAATTAGGTGACTTCGATTTACCCGATTAGCAAACACTAATAGTTGATGTGAGTGATTTCCAGCTACTTTTGATTACCACCTACTGTAGTCTGAAGCAAATCGACCACATATTTTGATAGTTGTACTTCCAAAAGGAACTGTGTTAAGTATTCTACCCCTCTGAATTGACTATAATGTTGGGCGCTAACATAGGATCAGGTTGGAAAAGAGCTAGCACGAGGTGGTGGTGGTCAAACCAAAACATAACTTTATCAGTCAATGAAATCCATAACAGTTAGTTTAAGCCAACTAGGCAGCTAGGGAGGGAGGTGTAGACTTCCTGACTGGTTGGCGTCCTCGGGATGGTAAGGACCAATGAAGGCTGTAGACAATTGGTGATATGTCTCAAAAGCGTTCTCGATGGTTGGCACAAATGCATTCACTCTTCATGATTTGTCATGTCCAGTAAAACTCTTTTTTCCCCCTCACTCACATTTCTGCTTGTTATCTCTCTCTTTTGAATCTCTTCTTCTTACTCTATTCTCTTACTTTTTGTGCTACATGGAGAGTAGCAGCTCGAACTGCTGCACATCTGTGAAGAGTTGTGTGTTGAAACCAGTCAGTCAGTATTTGATCCCTATAATTTTCAAATTTGCTCACTAACCAACATCATTTAGAGAACTAGTGGAAACCAGAAAGTACTGGACATCTGTTTCGTTTTGATACTCTTCAGAAGTAGGCGCCTGGGATCCCATCAGATTACAAGGCGATCTTGTTAACCATTCAGCCACTGGAATGGAATCCAGTGACACCTGTCCACTATGTGGGTGTGGGTGGCACAGCGGTTAGGACGCTCGCCGACCATGCACATGGTCCGGAGTTCGAACCCCGGCCGACGCACACCCAATATCAATGGTCGGTCTGCTAAATTTGGGCTACTGATATCACATGCTGAAAATTCCATACTTGTACCAATATACTGTGTGGAATCAAGCTATAATAAAATAAATAAATCTATGGAGTGACCATCAGCCAATAGCATCAGCGATTATGTATTCTTACACCGAATTCGGTTGACCCAGCTGAGCACGACTTCAGGCAACTTTGTCCTGTAATCAATAGTTTCAGATTCGATCATGAATCAACTTCATTTAGAGAACCATTGAAAACCGCCAGAGAGTACTGGACAGCTGTTTCGTCCTTGTTTATCACTCTTCATCAAAACACACCCATAATCTCACCGCTAGGGATCGAACCCCGGAACTTTGAGGTGATAAGATGAGCTATTTAAGCATTCAGCCACCTGAACGGAATCTCATCAATTCTAACTTTTTATTTCTGTCAAAATGATTACGCAATCAATAAAATTAAATTTTTTCAAAAAAACAAACAAGGTTATTGATTGTTTTTAATTTAATAATTTCTTGAAATTCCCTGGGCAGACATTGTTTAAAAGAGTTCAAACACATTGTAGCACTCCAGAGTTAAAAAGAGTGGAAGAAAAGTACCTACAAACGGTCTTCAAAAAGAATGGTTATCCACAAAATTTCATCAAAAAGTGTTTAAAGTCGAATCAAAACACCAACAAGAAACCATCATCAAAGACCACAAGAAAATTCATTCTACCATACATGAGAAATATCTCTGAAATAACAGCTAGAATACTGAAACCGTTTGATATAGATATAGCACACAAGCCAGTCAAATCGCTTAATTCGATATTATGCAAACCGAAAGATCCAACAGAAAAAGGGGATAAAATTAATACCATTTACAAAATAAATTGTATGAACTGCAACAAGCATTACATCGGCCAAAGTGGGCGTCCTCTTCGAATTAGAATCCAAGAACACAAATCAGCCGTGAAAAGACACAATATGTATTCTTTAGTATCAATGCATATAGACAATTATGGTCATCAGTTTGATTGGGATAATGTCAAAATCTTAGACAGAGGAAACACCAAAAGTGCCAGGGAATTCCTAGAAGCCTGGTACTCAAACGAAAATGCAATTAACAAACACGTTAATATAGACGAAATATACCAACTAATAAAAAGTAAATCAGGTGACCAGAAAGTTTAAAATCCAAGTCAATAGAAAATGGTCAATACATATGTAAAGATGGTTACCAGGAGACGCAATTATATCACTCATGAAGAAATTTAAATCATTTCACTTTGTGCTAAATATGGCGCTGAAGGGGGATGTTGTCCAGAAGGACGACGAAAGCTTCGCAACTAAACCAACCAGCTCAGAGAACACTATTAATTGCAAAAGTTTACTGATTGTTTTTAATTTAAATAATTTCTTGGTTATTTTTTTTTGCTCTCTTTCTCTCTACCTTCATCTAGATGCGTATTTTATCTGAACAAAATAAAAAGTTAATGAATGATACTGGATCAATGAATCGATTAACTAAAGAAACTGAAAAAATTCGTTCAATGTACAATACAGAATTGAAACAGCTACGCCATTTAGTTGATGAATGTGAACGTGAAAAAGCTGACAGTTTAGCGAAAATTGCTCATTTACAACAAACTATTAGAAATAAACAAGATCAGTGAGTACTTTTTTTCCTGTGGTTTTTCTTTTTGTCTGTCTTTCTGTCTATCCATGTATTTGTGTGTGTGCGTGTGTGTGTGTTTGTGACTTAGGAACCAAACTGATAAATTCAAGGTAGGTTTTACAGAATGAAGCGACATCAGTTAAGGAACCGATGAAAACAAGGCTGTATGGGAACAGCTGTTTCGTCTCTTGTTTGGGACTCTTCAGCCGTATACACTGCTGAGCCCACTGAGGATCTGGTTTGACCGTTGGGATGACAAGTATTCCAACCTCTACTTATTCTCAGCATCAAGTACCTCAGTCATCCAGCCAGTCAATACACTGATAATAGAAAAAATCCCCAATTAGACATTTGGAAAGTAAAAGGATTGAGTGGAGAAATATTTACTTTTCAATTAGATCCTCATCTCACTCTGGCTCTACTCTTATATATATCCATAGCATTTTTCATTAGAATACACAACGATTTACCAATCAATTGGAGATATGTTTGTTAACAATAATTAATCAATATCAACATGTTAAGGGGCTTGATAGTAACCAAGATAGATAATTCAAACAATTAAATAATAATAAAATAATTTGGACAATTATAATTTTTAAAGGTCCAGGAGGAAAGTAGTCCGGTTTGTACATTCATGTAACGATCGATGACCAAGGTAAGGAAAGTGGCTGTACAAATTTCTTCTGAACACACACAGGTTTGGCTTCTTCAGGTGGATTCCTACGGCTTCAGCTGTATGTAAAAGACGAACTCGTAAAGAGAAATTAAGATAAGTAGGAATGCGATAAATAATTTTGAATGCTGTATTAACGTCAACCTTATGCTGAATATCAACCAAGTGTGCTAAAATAGAGATAGGAGTACCATATTATTTTGTTTATTAGATGTATCACACAGTGATGAAACAGTATTATTTACTGGATGACAAGGTTTCGAACACAATTTATTGTTCATAATCATTTCATCAATTATAATCACACGACTTCGAAACTTGAGTTTTATAGTTTTCTTTGTTCTCTCCTATTTGTCGTCGTTGGCGTAGAAGAATTTTCCAGATATCTGGGTGGACAGGTGTTGAATCTTTCCTATTACACGTGTTTGCAGTTGATTCAATAAACAAAGCTTCTGTTATCAATCTCTCCTTCCATACTGTTACATTAGATTTTAAAACTGTCATCTTATCCCATCCAGCCTATTGTATGGTTGTGTGTAATTGCATGTGGTGTAGTGCTATAGCTGAACTATTCTCTAGATTTCTTATCTTATTGGGGTCAACCAATCTAGATTTTGCTAGGTTTTTATGCTCGGCTAGTTTGATTGCCCTTGTTTTAATACTTCGACCTATGTATTGGACCTGGCAATCATTCCATCAAACTAAATTGTTTTGTTTTATTGGCTCCACAGGATCCTTCAGCCGACAAAGCTTGTTTCTAATTGAGTTTGTGGGTTTGAATGCCAGCCACTTTTATTCCTGCCTTGTTAGGAATTCTGCGTAAGGTTTCCGAGGTTCTTTCCTTGTATGGAATTACTACTGATGATTTAGATTGCTTATTCTTGGTGTTGTCATTAATATTATTATTACTATTATCATTATTGTTATTATCACTATCACTACTATCATCATTTATTTAATTTTTACATTTCCCTACATACTTTCTGACTGATTTATCAGGGTAATTATTAAATTTCAAAGCTTCTCTTATATGCCTCACTTCCTGTCTTAGATTTTCCTTGGTGCTACTTAGTTTTGTGCTCTGTCACTTAAACATTTTACCAATCCTATTTTTACTGACATAGGATGGGATGATCGGAAGTCCAAATATCTGTTTGAGTGTGTGGGTTTCCTGTAAACACTAGTGTTTACCTTCCCATCTTCTTTCCTCTTTACGTTGCAATCTAACATTGGGAGCTCCCCTTCCTGATTTTCCAATTCATAAGTGAATTGAATTGCTTCAACCTTCGAGTTGATGTGTTCGAAAAATCTATCTATATCTTGTGTTCTAAGTACAGTGAATGTGTCATCTACATACCTCCACCATACTTTTGGGGTGGGGCTGAGCATTTCAATCGCTAAGTTTTCCCACCTATCCATGAATATATCTGCCACAATCGGGGATATTGGTGACCCCATGGCAACTCCCTCAGTTTGTTTGTATATTTTCCCTTGGAATTTAAATACTATGGAAGTCAGGCATAGCTGTACTCCCAGCATTATGTCCTCAGGTGGGACTTTCGTTCTCGGTCAGAAATGAGTTCGTTTCTGACTACCACTATACCAATATTTATTGGTTTACGTGTATATAAACTGACAATGTCAAAACTAACCATTTTCTCTTCATTATCTAATTGTAAATTATCTAATCTATGTTTTAGTTCATAAGAATTTGTTAGTCTAGATTTCGAGTGGCTTTTAAGGGGATTTAATACCATGGCTAAATATTTCGATAATTCATAAGTAGGTGACTTTCTAAAATCAACTATAGGTCCGTTTAATAGGGTATCCTGACTTCTGAACTTTAACAACACCATACATCCTACTGGGGTTATTAGTTTTGGGCATTAAATTAAACCACTTAGACTCACCTAGAAACGGCTTCATTCGGCGTATAAGGTCCGCTGTGGATTTCTTAACCTTATTCATAACGGTGTCTATTGATTTATTAATTTCCTCATATGGTGCGGTTTGTATGTGACAAATCAGAATATTTGGACAAGGTGAATACTCACACACAAAAATTTACATGGATCTGCGGGAGCAGTTACAGTGGGAGAACAGAGAGAAGAACGGCATACCTCAGATTTTTTGAACATGTACCAGAAAGCCTACGTTTAAAGGGAACAAACGTTTACAATAGTACCATTGCTGGACAACTCGTTAATAAGGGGCATAATATGGACACCATGAAATCCTTTAAAATCATCAACAGACAGAATAATTCAATTATTCTCAAGTTTGCCCAAACGATCTCTATTAAACTCCTGAAACCCGCCCGAATTTTGTATTCAGAAAGAAGTAGTTATCAGTTTATCCTTGCCCTAGTAACTGGATGTCTTTATTTTGTCTTCGTTTGACTGTCGAATCTTCGGCTTTAACCTATTCCCCTTTTGAAATAAATAGTATAACTCTGCTTGTCTCTTGTTTCTATGATTTGAGCTGAACTCACCACATTCTTACTCAATTTATTAGCTACTCATTATTGCATTCTTCTCTCATCCCTATTACATAAATTTTTTTGCCATTGTATCTAAGCATTCATTCTTGTTTAGACTTGAACTTCCTGGGTATAGACTATATAAATTTGATTTCTGACCACTTTTTATTAAGTTAGAAGTCTCTTATCAACTGGCATTATGTTGCATTTGTGAGTGTGTTAAAATATTTCTGTATATAAACTTAATAATGTCTTAAAGGTGTGCGCAACTGATGAGAAACCAACAAAAGATATGATGGTATCATCTTATTCTGCACAAACTGCCATTCTCGCTCTATTCAAATTCATAAATGAGGACATGTGTATGATGTTGGTTAATTGACGAGTCCATACTTTTCTGTCCCTTTAATCGAAGCCCCCTTGGTACATGTTCAGCGAATCTGACATGGGTCGTTCTTTCTGTCCCCCAGAGTGTAACCGTTCCCAAAGTTATGCGTGTATTGATTTACACAGTAGGAGGTAGAATACGAAGGATGATTGTCGATTTTTTGACTGTGCCAGCTAGCGGGATGTTCTAAACAGAGAGACTAGTTTTCCTGACGGATACGTCCTGGTCAAATCACTGTGAGACTGAGGCACCCTTACGCGAATTCATATTTCACATTACGAGAGAAATCTTTTCAGTAGAATAGATACAGAAGCGCAATTCGAGAATCTTTTCAGCTAGTTAACTGACTACATCCCATAAATAACAACACAAACGGGCTAGTTCCAATCCAGATTAGTCGATATTTCCAATCAGTACATTTCTTCTTCTTCTTCAGTAATTCCACAATCTAGAATCATGTCTGACTAAAGAACACCAAGTAGTGGCAGCAGTGGGTTGACTTATAAGTATGAATATATTAAATATTCCCATAGTAAAATTTAGAACAACACATCTAAGCGAACAATATTGTTTTCAATTAGATCTCATCAGGCTTAACTCTAATATACATAAGTTTACAAATAAAAATTCAAATATAAGCCAATCATGGTGTTTTGTCTATAGGATAATACGATGGTGAATATAAACTGTTCAATTAGTCATAATAATAGTAATGATAATAATAATAACATCGGAGAAAAAACCGGAGACTCTGACTGCACGTAAGAAACCTCTATTTATTAAGTTACAATTTAATGGTGACTTATCAAGTGAGATTCTATTCCAAAGACTTTCAAGGAGTATACGAAGAATATTTTATGCAGCACACCTATGTTTGTCATTCTCTACCCGACGAATGATTGAGACGCAAACGAAGGATAAGCTTGATAGTTTTGCCACACATCTGTGTGCATTTATCAATTCAACTGCATCTGCGGTGACAGTTATATTGGGCACACTACTACTAGACAGCTTAGCCAACGTGTCACTACTGAACATCTCCCATCGTGGTGGTTTGGCAAAGGACAGACAAAAACAATCCGTAGCTCAATTTTGTCACACTTAATTGATAGTGGTCATGTAACCGAGAAAACGAAAGCCTTCAAAGTAATTCATCGTATCCCACCGAATCTTTCCAATAGACTTTGTATTCGTCTATTGCACACAGCTGAAGCGATAGACATTCGAACTATTAAACCTAAACTATGCATTCAAAAGAAGTTCGTACAGTCATTATCCCTCCCTTGGCCTATTAAGACGTAACCAACTAATGACTTCTACACCACACCTTGCTTATATTTTCGACCCCTTCTTCCTTATCATCCCTTAATCTTATCATATCTTCATTATAAACGTGTTTCATTTCCTTCCCTTACAATCTAACATTACTTAATCGGTTCATTTGTTTTTAC